TGAGTCGTTCAGTCCTTCAACAAGTTTATTATTTATATAATGTTATTACGTTACATTACCTCGAGACGATCGACGTCCATCGTCGATCTTCAAATACTTATACCTGTATATAAATTAGACGCACAAGGGGGGGGGGGGGGGGGGGGGGTCGGTGGCCGAGTGCATGGTCTAGCGCACGCCAGCTCGGAGCGCTTGGAGCGAAAGCTTGCGCTGCAGAAGCCACCCCGCCCCTGCCCGTTTCGATCTGGAAGAGCATCGTACCGGCGTGCGGTCGTGTATCACTACTGTGTGGTGCACGTTAAAGACCCCAGGTTTACGGTTGTACCGCACTGGCTAAATTGCTCATCTACAGCTGAGAGTCAGACGCCCACTAAGGCGGACTAACTTCCGGCTGTATAAATATACACACAATTTCCAATTAGAAGCATAATAAGAAAGAGCACAGCGTGCCGCCTCTTTTCTTTGGATGCCTTTTTTTAAACCAGCGCAAGCTCGCGCGTTCTCTTTTTTGAGACGGTTAGAACGGTCGCACATAAAACCCGCGTTCCTCCTACCCGGCCGCTTCCTCCTCTCATTATGTGTATTTGGTTATAACTAAATAAGCTATAATAATGGTGTATTATGCATATTTACTTTCAGTTTCAGTCAGGGAAAAGGAGTTTCGCGGGAACTAGAGCAAATAAATTAGCTGCGCTTAGAGTATCGGCACTCTCTTCCCCGACAGTGTTGTGAACGCCGCCATTTTGGTGCTTGTGCAGAGCAGGCGCAACTGCCGATCATCATGATTCAAAAGTGCAACATCCTCAGCATTATATTCGGTGTTAGGAAGCTCACGTAATGTTGCTTTGCTTTGTCGCACACTGTTTAAAATGGAGGACGGAGAAGCGTTTCTTCCGATTTCAGGTAAAGCTTCGAATAACTGGCAACCACGATTATAAGCCACAATATGGCCAAGTGTCGCTACTTTGACGCGTAGCTTATTTAATGACACTATTCATGCTCTTGTTCAAGAGGCTTGTAATACCTGGAGGGGCCATGACGTAAGCCCCGTGGATTCCACAAGCCACTAACTACCTTTTGACACCTGCCTCTTCCTCATTGTTCCCGCTTGTGCCAGTAAATTAGCTACGGTTCAGAGTAACGACACTTGGCCATATTGTGGCTTAAAATCATGGTTGCCAGTTACCTGAAGCTTCATCTAAAATCACAGGAAACGCTCTTCCGTCCCCCACAAATGTTTAAACAGCCCGCGACAGAGCACTGCAATATTGCATCAGCTTCCTAGCACCGCATCTAACGGTGAGGAAGTCGTACTTTAGGATCATGACGATCGGCAGTTGCGTTTGCTCTGAACAAGACCCAAAATGGCGGCGCCCAAAACAATTTTCGGGAACGGAGTAGCCGATAGTTTAAAGCTCATTTAGTGACTCTAGGCATGAACTGAACTCGGGTGTATTATTTTCCTCTTCGTCTTAATTGTTTATTGATTTCAATCATATCGAATAATGAACACATTATATCACGCTACGCGTGTGTAATTATTTGTCTTAGATTTATTAACCTGACCCAGTACTTAAACCATTCATTTATCGATAGTAAATCTTCCAATATATTTTTTAAATGTGAAGGTAAAAAGACACGCAGATTGATGATGATACAGACGCCAACGCCGCCCTCGGAAATTGTTTGAACACTAGAAATCAGCAGTTTGTCTGCCATCCGCCAGGTAGCGCAACAAAACACCCAAATAGTGTTTTAATGTTTTTAAAATTAGATAAGCTCTACACCTATTAAGAAACCAAAGCAAAATCATTGTGAAAATGTAATACATCGCAATGTATATCTATTCCAACGAATAAATGTTATTAGATGCCAATAAATCTGTTCGATGTCCAAACAAGATATGCGTCAAAAATAGGTAAGTTTGAAGGGCTCCTGGAGCGTTATGACTTTGAAAATGAAAAAAAGCCACCGTCCACCTTTTGGGGAACCATTGTAGCTCTAAATGTTATAAAAGGTTTTATCATAGTTTAATTATTTCCTCACCGGCATTTGAAGTACCATGACTCGAAGCACAAAAAAGTGCTACGTTTGATATAAAATATCTAAACAAAAAAATTTTGCACAACAATAAATTTTTTTCTGCATATTACCAATTATAAGCACTACATCTGTAGCTAATTTCATTGCCCTAGAGCTTGTCATTAAAAACATATTTGCGCTGAAAAATGTCAATTTTAGGGCAATATTCGGAGGGATGAAAAAAACAAAGTAATGCAAATACCAAAAAAGTGTATCGTTACATTCTGCTCCGACATCATATTAACAAAACTGCTATATTGGAACCATGCTATCTTTAATAGATCGTTCATAAAACATGAACTAGCGGAGCAAGTGAGGGTCCGCGACATCATATTCGCAACACTACAAACGCGCATGGACAGTAAAACCCAACACATACATAATATCAAATGAAAGAGGATTGCATTGCCTTTCGAATGACATCGATCCCACAAAACAGTATTTAAAAGGAGATGAGTAATGACCTGCCAAAAAGTAGCTAAACTGCCACATTCAGTGGGACCGTGGCCTTTAAGACCAGCTGATAACATAAGCCACCTGTTGGAGAATGGCGAGCTCGAGCACCTCTAGACATTCTCCAAAGCGGAAAAAGCTGCACATTCTCGTGCAGTAATACTATCTAAAAAAAAAGTGCCGGCTTCAGCGAGGGGCATGCTTATAAACGAGCATTTCGAGGCACTATGGTTGCCCGTTAATTTAGAGACAACCGTTCCGGATCAACTTAAATAAAATTGCCAATCCCTGGTTGTTAAAAAAGCGTTACGATTAAGGTCAGCATATAATGCCTCGCCTAACGTAACCTGTTGGAGGATGGTAAGAGATGCCCCTCTTGCCTTTAGCTCGAGCCTCTCGTGACATTCTCCAAAGTGGAAAGAAATCCAAGCTGTCCAACACGCCATTGCTTTTTGCAAGAAGAATACTGCCCCTTTTTGGAGTCCAATTGTCACGACTACTGATTTGCAAAGTAGTCATGCTCCTTGAGGGCCAGCACAGACATGCTCGGAACATCCACATGGAGCTGAGCGGATGCTGCTCCTTCTGTAGGAACTCACCTGGCTACAAGGCCCTACATGATGTGCTGCTGCTCCAAGCTGGTGGGAGGTTTGCCATGCATGGGACCAGAACCAGGGCGTTTTTTGGGGGGGAAAGTACCGTGGTTGTTTTTCCATCTTTTTGTTGTGAGGGATTACCCCAGGTTTTGGAGAAGTCTCATCATGAACAGAGTCAAGTACATCTTGGGCCTTGGTACGGTATTTCAACACCAGGGAGCTTGAAGAGCTTGTCAATTTCTTCCTGGAGAGGGACTTGTTCAGTCCACTTATTGTTGAACATATGTTGTCCTCTGAATTTGGTTGAGTCTTCTCCATCCCTACCTCAATACCCTGCCGAATGTCATCCAAGAGGGACTGTGGCTCATCATCTAACGTAAAGCCTGTTTCTTCACGTGTTGTTGATGGCATTTCTACACCTGGCTCAGTGTCGGCCTCCTCCACGGTCGTCACATGGATCCCCAGGTAAGCTACTGCGGGAATATGCTTGCACATTGATGATGAAATCAGGCTGTCATTGCAAGTGCACTTGTAACTGTCGATAAAGATGTCACAGTCCCTGCAACGAAGCACGCAACTCTGGCGGGGGTCGCCCTTCTCAACATGGTAGCTTCTCTCTGTCTGGGACTGAGACTTTACAAGCCAGCCATTGCCATTTTGCAGCTGTTCTACATCTGATGCTGGAATTTTCATCCCCTCCTGGTGCCTCCGAAAAAGGGCTGCATCATGCCGATTCGTTTTTCCTTTTACGAGCGACTTGGGACGCTCGTAGAGCCGGTCACGGCTCAGTTCGAAGAGGATCATCAACAGCTTGTCAAGCCTCTGGTTGCGAGTTCCATGCATTAGCGTGACTTCAGGTCCTTGTACAATGCCTCCAAGTGGTTGGTAGTATTAAAAGGAATGCCCTTTCTGAAGCAGAGCGCCCACTGTTAGGCTCTGCCACCATGGTAGTGCCCAAAGTACTGAAGAAACTCCTGTACTTGTTGAATTAGTTTTGGATCAGCCTCTTCACTTAGTTTCTGACACGGGAGGCCTGTTGGAGGTCGTTGGAATTGACCCTCATCTTTGCAATTTCTCAGCGCCCACAACTCGTCGCAAAGACTGTCACGGGTTTGCTTATATCTTGGACTGACTGCAACTTCAGAGCCCAGTTGTGGCTTACATGCCACGAGCAGAGCATCCAATGTTGGGCACAGCCCATCACTTCCTCCCATGCATTACCTTTATGGCCTTAAGGAGTGTTTCATAGCCTTGGTGTCTAGTTACCTTGAGATCAAATATGTGCATGGCATGCCTGACTGATCTTCTGCAGCTGTCATGAGTCTTCAGTTGCAGATTGTGGCCATTTATATTATGAGTGTAGTTAATGCACAGAAACTTGGGGCCAAGCTTTGTGAGGCGTTCTTTCTGAGGGACAGTCATCAGGGCAAGCTCAAAGCTCTCTTTTTGTTTTCCTTCCTCCATGTCAGTACAGGACTGGGGAATCTGACTTTGTTCAGTGCCGTAGCTCTTTCGTCAGAATTTCATGCTCGACGGAGATGTTGCCAATGTCTTTCATTGAGAGCAAATGTAGCCTGCCCATCTCACTGCCAGCAGAAGAATGTGCGTCTACCAGATCTTTACGGGCGGGGATGCTTTGCTTTAGTTTATCAGCTAAAGCCTCCTTCTCAGTCGTAAAGAGGCGCTGGTGCTTCAGTTCCTTCGGGTGGCCGTAGTGTTCTGCCTGGTACTCTACTGTCACCTTGCCATCTTTCTCTGTAGCTTGAATTGTGGCTAAGCATTGCACATTAATCTTACAAGTGCCCTGGGTTCTCAGTTGTCATTTACCTCTTGCTCTGAAATGATCCAGAGCGGTGGCAGTAGTAATACCTTTTCAGGACACCCTCATCTCGTCCCTTGGGTCCGTCGTGGAGAATGAAGCGAACATGCTCTCTGCCATCCTTAGCCTCCCTCCAGTCACTGAATTCTGGCAGGCAGAGAAGAAAGAAAGCTTAAAATGAAATGGCCTGAATTAAGAGTGGTATCTCAGTCACATCATATACCCCCTGCTTTAAAACATCTTCATGTTTGTTTCACTAAATGTACATCCCAATCAGACTTTTAGCTGTAGCATGCAGTCTATGGTTTTTTTGTGCTCCCAATGCCCACATAGGAGGTGCACTCCTAAACACTACGGCCTGCAAGAACAGGTTCACTGCACCCCACATGTGTAGTGTTTGCAAGTGCACCTGCTATGTGAGTGACGGGAGGACAAAAAAAAAAAAAACACAAACCAAAATATGTTTTGCATATTCATAAGTTCAATGCAAGTGCGCACTACAATGGAGAGGGAGCACAAGTTTCTTTGGCTCCATGTCGACCGCGCATCTTTCACAGAACATTTTAAATCTATGGTTAACCAAACACTAAGAATTTTATTCGCGAATCGATTTATCCGAGAGCTTACTATTTTATTTGTATTCCGATATTAAAGTATTCATACACCCCTAGAAAAGAGTCAAGTCTCATTATAGTGGCAGTCACAAGAGCAGCTAAAAAACCCCAGTGTGTTGGTAGCATGTAAACTGTAGACGTTAGATATATGCTTACCATAAAATTCTGAGAGATGCCCCAGCCTCGAAAGGTAAGCCACCCCAGTTTTTGGCTTCATTTGCTTTTTTTTCTTTTAGTTAGCTATTGGGGATATAACGTGTCTAGTTATTGTGTCGAGTTAGCTATGACAAGATATAATGAACCATTGCCGCCTGGCAAGTAGAGCCATTATTGCTTCACACTGCAAGTGAGCCCACTCCTTAATTTGAGCCATTTTTTTATTGATTTTAGGTGGGCTATCTCTCGGGATATTAGGGTAACACTATGACCCCTCTGCTTCACTCCCCAGGTAGCCATACTCCCATCATACATACCTGTGGCAACGGCCAAAGCCGCTACAATCAGGTGTGCTAGGTTTGTGCTTAAGCTTATGTGCTTAAGGTTATGTGCTTAAAGGAGCTGTGCAACGATATTCAATTGGAATGTTTTTCTCTCTACACTAGCTTACTGGCACACCTCGGACTCAAGGATACTCACACGCAACACCATTGGCCAAGAAACTCCTTTGTTGTGGTGTAATTTCAAGGACAAAAGCGATCATTTTCATTCAATCTCTCCTTTGCAAAATTTGATGACGTAACTCGGGGATCCCAGTACACCCAAGTGACGATATTTGAATGCGGTTCATAGATTGGACCCGAGCATTGCGTGGGCACTCGACTTGGGCTCGTGACAATTGCTAGCTCGAGAAGCATTCGGGTTGTGACCCGTGTCCAATCGCTGCAACGACGACAACAGCCGAGCCATAACAATGTCTGGAACTCAGCGCGTGTCCTGCGCTTTGCCAACCCCTGCGCGTGGCTATGATCAACACTGGCGGCATATAATCGGCTCCAGATCACGTGGCCGCTTGTTCTGGCTGCGAGTTGAGGGGGTGAACGCCGCTCGTTTTTCTTAAATTTTTTTCTGGGACTTCTATTGCGTGGGGTGAAAAACGAACGCGTGTTTCATAGGTCATTAACGTTAGGGATCCGATTTAAGCGGTATTTGTGCACAGTACAAAAATTGTTGCATCGCTCCTTTAAGCTTACACTGAGCAGCCGAGCAGATAGAGCTCCGCGGCTCGTGCGCATGAACTCGTGCCTTGCGCCCGTGGCTAGAACGTACCCGGCTCTGAGCCGATCGCCTCTTCTTCTACCTTGCTATCGTGTCACCTTTCCTGGCGCAACTTGCAACATGGTGTCAGAAGTGGGATGCGGAAGTCGTTGAGAGCGGAGATGCTCAAGAGCCACGTATAGAATGTGAAGGCAATCTTCATTCACAAACGAGAAGTGGCCGATGCGTCAAGGCTCCCCTGAGACTTTGACTCTTCTGTGTGGGGGAGATGTTGGCTACACTGAGCAGCCGAGCAGATAGAGCCAATAGAGCTCCGCGGCTCGTGCGCATGAACTCGTGCCTTGCGCCCGTGGCTAGAACGTACCTGGCTCTGAGCCGATCGCCATATTAAACCTCTTGTTCTACCCTGCTATCGTGGGGTCCATATCAGAAGAGCGAATGACATTTTAGCGAAAGGCGACATTTGAGCGAATGGTCGTTTTAGCGAATAACGGGGGCGCGCGTTAACCCATCCGTCGCGCTGCGCTTTACGCCGCTTCGCGGCGACAGTCTACGGCAACTCATTACAAAAATATGAACTCACTTGGCCCACCCGAAAACGCCGCTTCGCGGCGTCTGACTATTCGCTAAAGTGTCGTTCGATGAAACGTGGGCGTTCGCTAAAACGTCATTCGATCAAGTGAGTGCCTCCCGCTATCGTGTCACCGTTCCCTGGTGCAACTTGCAACACTATCCACAAGCTTTAGCGTCAATGCACGAGAACAAGTGTTGGCTCGAGGAATAAAAATTGACATTCTATTTTATCTTAAAAAGGGCTCGGACATTCATTCAACTCTTTCTCGACCTAACGTAACAAGGAAGTATGTTACCGCACAAACAATTCAGTGCTAAATGAATTGCATGTGGTAAAATACTCCTTCAGGACGTTATAAGGTATATACACTGGAAGTATGGCTATTCCCATGCACAGGTGTGCTTTAGGAGGCGATCCTGTTGATGTCCTGATGTGAAAGTCATGCTTGTAAAGTAACATGGCTTAAAGAAAGCTGAAGTGGTTCCTAAAAATATAGTTGGAGGTCAATTCTTGCCTGGTTTTACCCCATGAATCCAAATATGACAATTATTTGGTGCAAAATTGTTGGCAAACGCAAGATATCCATGTTTCACATTCACCGTTTATGACGTCAAATATGGGTTTTCGGCTACACAGCGCATGCCACTCCATAAAGGGTCCCTTTCATTTCATCGAAACTCGCTTCATAAAATTATGTTTCGTAGACAACTTTTCATGAACACACGTTTCGTCAACACAATCGTTTCATTGATGCTTGTTATGCGAATTGCACGCTGTAGGGACATTTCGTCTTGCGTGTATCACTGGGGTATGCATTAACCCACCCACCCACCCGCCTGCCTGCCTGCCTGTCGGTAAGGTGGGCTCATTACAAAAATGTTAACCCACCTTACCGACACTGCATGAGACTGTCGCAGTGACAGTCTCATGCAGCTTATTACAGAAAAAAACGTAATCTGAGCTGTCGATGAAACGTCACGCAATGAACCGATTGCCACTTCTCCAGGAGTATACTCTGAGTTGCATAGCTTTGATCAGTCCAGTTGGTGCGCAAGCTTTTTGAGGACCGTGCACCTGCAGAACAAAAGAGCTCTGTATACGACGTCATAAACTACCACTTTGAAAGCACTTTTCAGAGGGGAACGAAAGAATAAACTCGTACCGCACAGCAAGTTTTAAAGGGATACTTCAACGAAATTTGAAATATTCCCGTCATGTTCAAAAATAGGTTGAATATGATCCACAATATCCGTAAATGACAATCGCACGTTTGTATTTTGATCCTGGTGGCTGTATTTTTCGTTATAAACGGCCCACTCTGGCAAGCGCTCGGAGAAGGCCCAGCTTAGAGCACGTGACATCCAACGCAATCGTGACGTAGGTCGTCTCAAGACAAGCAAAGCTACGGCGAGGCTGACGTCGAGAGGATGGCCTAGTCGTTCGAGCCACCGAAGCGGCTGCTTTTGTACGAATTTTGAGTGACGGGTTAATCTTCTATAATCTTCTAGGGGGACAATAGCGACTTCTGCGACACACAAAAGGGATTCTCGGGAAGAGGGGAGTTCCTCCTTTCCCCCTTCTCTCGTCGTGGCCGCGGAGACGAGACAACCTCCGTCACTAGCTGTCAAGGTTCCTAGACGAGCATTACAAACGAGGCGTTAGTGACATCCACCAGGTGCTCTTTGCTAATCGTTTAGTTTGTTTTAAAATTCCTTTTCTAGACTTTTTTAAGATATTGGTATGTTCCATGTGATATTGCTCTTTTGAACACATATAGACCAAAGAAATGAGCGCCGAAATTTCGTTGTAGTATCCCTTTAAGCATCTCGAAAACAATTTGCACGAAAGACGAGAGGAACAGGACAAGCGGCACTATCGAAAAGAATGTGTTACTCTGAGATTCAAAGAAAGGCAGTGTTGCATTTTGATGCTCTAGAAAGATGAACAACCTTTTAAAAGAGAAAAGGAAAGAAAAAAAAAATTAACAAACCGACTTTCTTCTCGTACTTCTCTTAGCACGCATTAAACAGTCAGTCGATACTGGATGGTAACGCTTGTTGCCATTTCTGTTCTTATCCTCTTTTTTTGCAATGTTTTCGAGATGACCAAACTGGCCCAACAATACACTTTTAATGAATTTCCGATACGACAACATATGCTGGGATTTCATGTGGCAGCTCGTGCTATTAGAGGACGAGTGTATTTTATCCCTCTGTGCAATCGCAATAGTCACCATGGGTGCGGATGCAAATTTGTGGTAATGAATTGTCGTCTCTTTTCAGATTTTTTAGTCTTTAAACGAGAGCTTGAATTATATCTTTTCTGCTCTAGGCCCACACCGTATTTTGTAACAGTGGTAGGCATTGTTATTGATTTTTCTTCTGTAGAAAAGGTAGAAAACTAAGCGAGCGCACTTACCTTTTAACAAATTGAACTTTAACTTGTCACGCCTCGCGACGATCCCGTGTTTCGCTTCAAAGTGGCGCATCAAGCTGTTGGACACAGATCGCATGCAAGGCGGCAGCGGACAGTGTGATCCAGCTCGTGTCAGCGTCCCCGTGAACCTCCTTTAGGTGCCTCTTTAAGTTGTAGATTTGCTTGAAGCACATGTCACAAATCATGCACTTGTACTTATCTGGGTCGGCGTTATGCCGCTAGCATGCACAAAAGCTACGGAGCAACCAGCAACCACATCCGAAGTTCAAACTGAGAACCGTTGAAAACGGCGAGGCCAGCGAGCCAGTGTGCGAGCCATACGTGACGCTATCATCATCATCACCACTACGCGAACGGATTCCCTACGAGCGGTTTTCCCTACGCTGGCGTTGTCCCCAGATCTAGGCACGGGCAGATCTCTGGATAGGCGCTCGCGGGGGAAACTATGGGGCGCTCTGACCCGTTTGTTTCCCCGCACCTCGGTACTTACTCAACGCAAGGCCTGTGCACATGCCGACAGGCTTATGAGCATGTCCATGTCATCTTCTACAATAGAGCGCGGAGCACAGTTTAATGTAAAAAATACTAACAATCGACAAAGCGACGTTAAGTGCCGGATCTATCCTCAGAGAATGCGAGCTTGACCCACTTCGGCTTTTGTGCTGAGCTGGGACCGTGCATGCTGCATTGTTCATGCAGGCCGTAGTGGAAACAAAAGAGCCCTTCCTCCCCCCCACCGGAGAACACGAACTTCAGCCGAACGCTGACGTTGCGTTCGGTTATGTCGGCCGAGCGCTGAGTCATTATTGTATTTGTTGTCCCCACCCGTCACTTGGGGCGTCACGCTCTGTCCTCCTCCCCAATATCCGGAAAACAAGGTCAGCTATTCAGGCGGGAAGGGTCTACTTCGAAAAAAAAAAAAAAGAAGGTCGGGGGCATCCTGTTCTGAATCAGCAAGGCGCGTCTAGCTGGGCTTTGCTTGTAGG